GGAGGTCATGGTGTCGCTGCGGAGGATAAAGGACTTGGCGGTGGCGTTCCTGGAGAAGGTCTTGAACCTGAACCGACGCCCCTTGAAAGGGCGTACGTAACTATGTGTAAAGTACTAGGAGTTATAAATTTAGTCTGCATAACACAACTTCCTCGGTAACTTCCTCTTATAGCATGCCCAGCGGTATTGTACAATGTTCAACGTCTAAGTGTAAACGATCATTCGGCACATCCTGAATAGAACCCAATGATTCGCGAAAAACGTGACAGCTACTCGGTACGCTGTGCACGGTAACAACGATGTTTCATCGTTAGGCGAGGGGAAAATTTTGAAGGCCTTTCTTGAGTTGAGACAAACTCCTCGAATTTAAAGGAAGTCTCTCCTCCCCCACCGCCCTCCCTCATTCCTTTAAGATTCCTCAAAATGTAAGTAGATTGGAAGAGTTATCATCTTCAAATATGGGAGTTACTTCACTGTAAAACGTTTTCGTGATTTTACGAAAAAATAAGTCACGAAATGCTTCGTAAAAATTAATTTACGAAAATATTTCGTAAGTGCCAATTTACGAAAACATTTCGTAAAGTAACGAATACATTTCGTAACGAATGCATTCTTTTGGGTCGTAAGACATAAAATGTGACTAGAATATTTACAATTTTCATACCCTTTAGTTAGAGCTTAGGATTTTCAAACCAAATTCGTAAAATAACGATGTATCGTAATTTCTTAGAAACGAAGTTTTCGTAATAGAAAATTAACCGAAGAAATGTCGTAAAATCACGATAATTTTCTTTACAGTGTTCGAAAAATGAGACATCGTTTTTACCGGCCGAGCAGCACCGTTTCTTGAAAGACTGCACGTCTAGTTTATGAAGGGGCCTTTCTGAGTCATCTTAGGCATCTCTCAGTCGTAGCGAGGTTGGAGAGTTTAGGTCAATGAACACAAACCCGGAGGCTTGCGGTTTTTGTCACATCCCAGGTGCATTTCTGGGCCCTTTCAAGGCAGACCCGAAAAGAGCCCAGCAGTCCGGGCTATTTCGGGGCTCATCACTTTTAAACGGGTAGTTTCAGTTACTGCCCTTAGGCAGGAAGAGTGTACTCCTGGGAAAACCCAAAAGTCTTGGTTTAAAGAAGACAGTCTTGGTTGGCGTGTTTTAATTAATACGCAACGCTATTAGGAATGCAGCTACTGCCAAGGCTGCCGAGCTCGTGATTTCAGTTGCTCCAGATGTGCGGGCTGTCGTGCTGGTGGTGGTGGTGGTACTCGTGGAATCGTCGTCTGGGAATGGTTGAGAGCCGGCCTCGACGAGTGGCACGACGCGTGTCTTCATCACTCTCTTGAAGAAGGTCCACGAGTTCTTCAAGGTGCGTTCCAGCCCAGTACTGTTGAAGTCTACGTGCACCATGCCCCAGTTGCTAAACAGTGACGGGAAATGAAAACATAAGCAGGCTGAAGTGCATACTTATTAAAAATACCGATACTGTATTATCAGTATCGGATTACCAGAAGACTCGTGAAAAATAACTTATGCAACACTGTATCCAGGTTTGTTCCCGAACTAGCCTGACCACGTTTGAGGCCCCAGACTTATACTGTTTGCACGGATTTCTGAATTTACAAAAAATGCCAGTTTCTGATAAGCTCTGAACTCATGCAGTACCCATATGCAAATTTATGGCATGTTTCGGAATGTAATGACCATAGACCATAGCTGTAATGTTATGGCAAGATCCAGAACTTTGCGACATTTTTGTAATGGTCCAACTACAATATTTAAGCTTTGGACTGTTACAAAAGTATAAACCGTAGAATTACGACACTTCTTAGGAAAAGTTTTCTGTTAAGTTGTGACTTTTTTTTCAGTGTTGGCACAGAAATAGGAACCTGAGAACTGAAGTGTTTTATATTTAAAGCACTGACATACGCATTCCTTGATCATGGATAGTAACCTTTTCGGCGTTTCCAGACGCGTGTACGAAAACGCAACAAAATATGGAACCTTTTGTTTTGACCCCAATAATGTGAGGTCGTCTCAGATTTCGAAAGATTTCGTTTGACACCATGGGAAAGCATCATCTGCACTGCACACATCTTGGTGAAGTATTGCATACTTTGATTTGGACAAGTGCACACTTAAAATGTTTTACGATAATTCTGGAAAATCTTGTTTATAGTGAAAATGAAAATTTGTCCCACTAAAATTTGACCCAAACAAAATCGTTCTTCTTGGGATATGGTTAGCTTTTCTCTTTAAGAGTGCACCCACCTCATGCTGTGGAACTCGAAAGTGTCAATGAAACTCCATGCCGTGTAGCCGATTACATTCGTGCCGTTTTCATTAATACCCGCCGCCAATTCTCGGAGAAACGCCTGAAACAGAAGTGTGGTTTTTAGACAGGGTGGACTGGACCTGACATCATTTCCAGTGATCGGTTTAGTCGAAAGCCGAGAACATACTGCAGATTTTATCCCGCTACCCTCTCAGACCTGTCTGTACTGATTTATTCATTAGTAGCTTATAAAGGTTTTTATGCAGCAGGGTTACGGACTAATTTGTTCCTTATTCTGTATATCGTTGTAAGAAGCTCACTGGTGAAAGCAGTTCTCAGTAGCTTATAAGAACAGAAGAATACTGACAAAAGGTGAAAAAAATCAGTAACAGGATGAGAGTGTATCAACAGCATTCTGCAAATAGTGTCCGAATATGAACAAGATACTAATAATTTTGTCACCAGCCAGCCGCCTTGCACACGCACACTTGTTTCGAAACCCAAATAAATCTTTAGGTGATCTCACTTACTTCACTACACCCATTTGAATTGTTTACACATTTTTGTCATTCCTCATACCAGACATATACATTACTTGTACATTGGAAATTAATGAATAGAATCTGAAGTCTGTATGCCATTTAGGGCTCCGTAACTTATCACAACACGCACGAATGTTAGTTACTCAACGTAAGGAAACATATGTCTAATTAAAAGTTTGGCCAAGTTGAATAACTTACTCGTATCGAAAGGACTGCATTTAAAGTTACTAGTTACAACTTTAACTCTTATAATAACGTTAATGGCAGGCAAGCAATAATTTACGGAGCCCTGATGTCATTACAATTTACAGTGGTAGTACAATGTGTAAATATAAATTGGTCTCTGGTGAAGATGCGGAAGATATATGACCTAAATACAAAACATGCACCCCTCAAAATTTATTCTCGTGATAGTAAATCAAGAAAAGTGATGCAACATTCGTTTCTTTGAAGCATATTTGCACATAAAACTTACGCTGGCGTACACAGCGCGGGTGTCCCAGTCGTCCACAGCGGACGCATTTCCTGCTGAGTTCACGCCATTTTCGGTAATAAAGACAGGAAGTTTCCTACCGTCTGTTTCGTATCGCTTCTTAATCCAAAGGGGCATTTCGCGTAACACCCAAGCACTTCCCTGAAAAAGAGCAACATGGTGATGGTGAGCAAACAACCGCAGGATTCTCAAATTGTTGTACAGCTTGAGTGTAGTGCGAAATCCTTAAACATAGGGTCAACCTAGACGCAACCTGGGTTCACTGCTGAACTATGTGATAAACTAGTAAACACGACACTACGACTTATAAAAAGTTGAACATAGTTGGTTCACGAAATTCTGACACACTGGCAGGCCCTTGGACCCGAGGTCTCATTGTAAGCGTCCTTACGATGCGTGAAGGCCTGATGCCGGAGGGTCACCGGCCCTCGCCGGGACCAGTGTTACGGCTGCCAAACTTCTTCGCGTCCCTTTTATGGGAGCGCACTACCTGCGGAGGAGTGCAAAGGACGGCTTGGCAGCTCTAGCCAAGGGATCCCACCCTTTTAATGAGTGTGACGATATTGCTTACGACGTCAACAAAGAAGAAAGGGGTGATTGTCTCGAAGTCCTTTGCGTGCCGGTGTGTCTGAATTTCGTGAACCAACTATAATATTTTTGCCTTTATAAAAGGCGTTATGGAAGAACAAAGGCTGGGTCCTAAAAGTGGGGTGAAATTTCGTCGGTTAATTATCTCTTGAAGGTTTCTTTGTCTATAACAGAAGACTAGTCTCGAATAGGTATCACCTGCTTTTACGATCTGCTCCTTGGCAGAACTTCTTACATGAGCATGAGCAGTTCTCCACGAATGGGCCACTTTCGTGTCCACGCTTTATTTCATCGAAATGTTAACCGATCCGAACGATTTTTTTTTTCTATCTCTGCGTCTTCATACTAACGTAACAGAAAACAAATGTTACTTTGACATTAAAGTCATCCCCTCAAAAGATATTTGAACGGAAAGGGTCTAAAATGTAAGATCCGTCACCATTTTGCATCACTGTAAAAAATGTTCGGATTTTTGCCATACAAGTATTTAAGGGGTACGTAGATCCTCTCGGAAACCAAATTTTGTACAAAAGTACAAAGTAACAGTAAATGTGGTTAGGGTAAGTCGTATATCGCTTATTTTCGATTCTTGGGTTGTAATAGTGCTTTCCAGGTGCCATTTTGTATAAAAACTGCTGTAAACATCTTTTACATTTTTTCCCTCGAACGTTTGTGTGACCCTACTTTGCCCTTTATCCTGATTTGTTTAAAAAACCTCAACTTTTTGCAGAAAGGGGAAGTTTTAAAGGAATTTGCTCCATCACTGTCGGTCTTCTAGGTAGGAATTGTTTTAGCAAGGGGAAAAAAATACATTATTCACAGCAGGATGAAAACAATTCATACCATGCAAACCGCCAGAGGAAGAGCCTTCTCCTTAAAATTTTCAAGCAAAGGACAGTAAAAGTAATAGTTTAATGAAAAAAAAATGTACGCAAAATATTAAGGTTTTTAAAACCTCCCCTTATGGCAACTCAGTACAACGGGCAAATGTAGGGTTATGAACACGTGCGAGGGAAAAAAAATTGTTACAGCACTTTTTATCCGCTCCGTTCGGGAAAAGGGCGGGCCTGCTTCTATTTCAAAGTAGATTATAGAGAAAGACTTACAGCGTCACCAAATCCATCGGGGCTGTTTCCACCGCCGCCACTGCCATCTCCAGAGCCACCATCTGCAGGAGGTCCTCCACCACCACTGCCACTATCTCCAGGTGGCCCACCACCACCACCCCCTCCGGAAGAACTTGCATTCTGGCCTCCATACATGTTCACACCCACAAAATCGATTCTGCCTGAAAATCAACCGTGGAGTGTTGTTTGCAAACATGCAATTCTGTTGTCGTGCTAGTGTACTAAAAAATTTTGCACGTAATAACGCACAATTGCACAAGAGACCAAACCTGGATTTTGTAAGGAAACAATTGGAAACATCATGGGGAATATGCCGTGAATCGGTATTAGAAGATGTCGACTTACCTTCCGCCGCCCCGCTACAACAAACGCTGTTCGTAAGGGTCCGTTTTGAAAACGTCCAATCTGCAGTCGTATTTTTAAAGATCATCCGTTTTGCCAATTTTTTTCACCTTACTAAAGACGTAACCATCCGTAGGTGTGGGTTTCTGGGCCAAAAATGTGGGAAAAGCTCGACGTCAGGCTGTAGACCTGTCCTTTCTCTACCCGCTGATATGTTCAGTTTTGCTGTGCATTCAATAGAAAAGGCAAAAAAAGTCCAAAACGCCTGTGTACTAGGCTACTGTGCACTACAGGCGTGTAGTGCGGGCAGGCTAAGTGACGTCACCACAGGCGCAAACACATGTTTTTCAAACTTTATCTAGTGAAAGCGTCACCGCTGCCCCGCAGACATTACTGATTCTGAAAGGTCTCAGTGTGCCCTCGGTTTCCATGTAATAAAAAGTTAGGGCTACGTCGGCATTATTTTCTGTAAATGGCGAGTGACGTCGGGCGAACATTTAGGCCCCTGGACACGCTGCGTGTATCGGGAGCTCGGATCCTTCATATCTGATACAAAGTAGGACAAATAGGGTAACACTTTTAGCCCGAGTCGTTCGCTCTGGCCCCACCGTGCGCGTAGGGCAGCGCCTACAAGATGGCGTGCCTGTTT